TTATCCTCTATACTAGGTGCTCTGCCTCCCTCCTCTCCTTACCTAGAATCATGACTGTCTGTATGCTTGAGCTCTTCTGCTGACTCCTGTGAGCAGATAGCATGGACACTTAGGCTCCCCAACAGCAGTGGAGAGAGGCTGGCCATGGAACAGCTGACCTGTGAATGCCAACTCCTGTGCACACTTCCCTCTCGGCCTTCTTTCTGCCTAGCTGCAGCTCACGCTCCAGTGTGAAGCACAGAAGGCATTTAATAAATGGAGCTTAAAATTAATTAGCTCCTTCTATCCAGTGTTAAAGAGTAGGAACTTCTCTGCTAAAAGAATTATTGAAGGGAAATTAAACTTTATATAAAATAAGGATACACTTGTTAATGTGAGCTTTTTCGGTTGTTTAATCAGCATCTGTCTTTTTAATTATTGGAGACAATGAAAGCATTAGGAAGAATGAGGTGGAGGGGTTATGGCTCAGTGGTAGAGCACTTGCCTGGTATGCATGAGGCCCTGGATTTGATTCAATCCCTGGTGCTGAAGGGAAAAAGCAAAAAAGGAAAAAGAAAGAATCTGTCTTTCCATTTTCTACAACTCTATTTGTTATTCCATATTGTTCAATTCTCTGGGCATCATCCACATAGAATGTATCCACAGCTGGGTTCAGAAGTAGCAGCTGGTAAGGCACTGACAGTAGGAAATTAGTATTCATGAAGGACTTACTTTTTTAACTACATTTTCATTGTTTTATGATTTTTTTTTTCAGGGTTCTCATACTACAGCCTGGCTACAGAGTTTGGAAACATATCATTTCACCATGTCTGTTAGGGTTTAGCTCACACAATGGTGGGGGCTGGCAAGTATAAAATATGCAGGGCAGGCCATCAGGCAGTCTACCCAGGGAAGGGTTGATACCTCAGATTAAATCGAAAGGCGATCCAGAGAGAGAATTTTCTTTGGAAAACCTTACTCTTTATTCTTAGGGCCTTCAACTGATTGGATGAGACCCACTCACATCATAGAGGGTGTCTGTTACTCTCAAGGTCTACTGATTTAAATGTTAATCTCATCTTTAAAATACCTTCATAGAGAAATCTAGACTGATATTTGACAAAATGGCTGGGCACCATGCCCTTTCAAGTTGATAAAAAATGTCAGACATCTGCCAAAATTCCATTTGACACCATTTGATGATAACTACTATTTTCCTAAATAATCATTTCTTTAAATGACCATTCTATTGTGTGACCACATACAGATCATTGTAGTACTTAACTCTCCAACATATCTCCTGGCCTCAAGACATAAGAACCCAAAGAGTTTCCCAAAAGTTTGCAACTTTAAGTTGCCCAGGTTGCCCTCAGACTTTAGATTCTCTTACCACAGCCTCACAGATCAGTGGGATTACAGGCATGTACCATTGCACCTGGCTGAAAGTTTGTAACTTTGTAAGTGACTGTCTTTTCACACTCTAAATTCTAGAGGGAATTGCTGCTTTTTGCTCTTTGTTACTTTAAGAGTGTGTGTGTGTGTGTGTGTGTGTGTGTGTGTGGAGGGAAAGGGGGCAGGGGGAGGGCCTGAGGATTAAACCCAGGGTCTGGGGCATGCTAAGCAAGGGCTCTACCATACTAAGCCCCTGCTTTTATTAATTCTGTACTCCTCTCAATAGTTAACAATCTGGCTGACAAATTTTACAGTTTTCCCTGTTCAAATTACTGATGAGGTCTCCTGGATGGGCCTGCCAATGCAATGACAGTTTGCTCTTGCTGGCAATTAATCCAATTTCTCAGACTGAGGTGATTTGAAGTTAGGCTTCAGTCCCTGAGACAGCCTCTGCTTTCTATTCCTACTTACTCTAAGGGAAATAAATGCTATAGTCATTCCTAATTTTAAAAAGTCAACTAGGAATGGAAAGGGATTTCCTCATTAGATAAAATATATCTACAAAAAGCCAATAGTTAATATTATACTTAATGTTGAAAACCTTGACTTACCCAAATTAACATTTAAATTGACATTCTACTCTGAATACTAAGAAGGTTTTAAGAATCTCTAGATAAAATGCTTGTAAAGTTTAAATAGAATAATAAACAAATGAGAATTGCAAGAAAAGTATTTAACAAGAAATAGGGCAGACATGAGATGACGCAATCTTCTATAAAAATTATTATAATCAAAACAATGTAGAATTGACATAGGATTAAACAAATGCATCATTGGAACAGATCAAGAACTCTAAACATTAATTCAAGGGTTTTTGAGATCTTAATGTGGTTAAAAAATAAAAAAGCATTTTAATTCAGAGGTAAATTATAATTTTATTTAATAATGCTATCAATATTGTTTGTCCATTTGGAAGAAAAAAATTGAGTCCTAATTTATGTCATATAAAAAAGATAACCATCTACATGTAAAAATAATATAGTAAGTATACCAGAAGCAGCTTTAGTATTATATATGTACAATCTTCAAATTAGGGAGGAGCCCTCTTCAGAAAATCATAAAAGTTTGATGCCATGAAGGAAATAAGTGGGTATGACTACTGAATGGTAAAAGGCTCCATATGCAGAGTTATAAGACAGAAACATTTTTGGAAATAATATAGCAAAGGATTGTTTCTGCTGATATGGAGATTCCTAAGAATTTTTTTTTTTTAATTCAATAGAAAATAAGGCAAAGGATGTGAAGGCAAAGAAGAGTAAATGCAAATGGCCAATAAACAAATCAAAGGTGATTAAACTTAGGAACCAAGATGATGCTTTTCATTAATCACATTGGCAAGAGGTTAAAATGATTGATAATGTCCAGTTCTGATGATGATGTAGAGAAATGGATACTTTCATATAACTTTTTTGGAAAGATCTTACACATTGAAATTTTTTAGTTTTCATGGCCAGCAATCCCCTTTTGGGGACTTTTATCTTATAATAATGAAAACATACATGCATAAGAATGTTTGTACACATTTATTATAACCTTATTTGTTAGTAGAAAGGAAAACCTTAAAAAGAAGAAGAGGTGAGCCTAGTGAATAAGTTAATAAATAAATTATGGTTCACCCAATACTATGGAATATTATGTGATTGTTAAAAGTATTTCTCTAAATCTATCTTGATCAACCTAAACAATTATGTGAACAAAAAACCACATTACAGTATTGTGTGATCCCATTTGACAAGAGGAAAAAAACAGAAAAAGAATATCTAACTCTGTATTCTTGCCTGAGCATAGAGAACACAGTAGAATGATAAACACACTGATAATTGTGGTTACTTTACAGAGGGTCAAGAAATAGAATTTGAAGGAGAGAAACTTAGGAGAAACTGTTCACTTGTCCTTTTTTCCTTCATTTTTTATATAAGCATAAACTTATAAAAAATATCATGCATTATGTTGTATAATTTTAGTTTTTAATTCTAAATTTTTTGAATAATCTTTTAAAATACACATTCCTGGCTAAAATCAGAGCTCCTAAGATCAAATCAATTTTTAAAAATGTGAAATAAGAAGTCATGGTATGGAATTTGTCCAACCCACCTCACGTGTTTCCTCCTTCTGAAATTTAATGACATTTCTTTTTCAAATAAATCAAACACCCCCAACTATGAATAGTTGAAAGGATGTAGTACTCACTGTGGGAACTTAGTGAAAAGCCACCAGTGTCTCCCCCACAAGGCTACTCCAGGCCTTCTGCTTATGTTATGCTCTTTTTCAAGGCTCTGACAACTTCCTCATTCCTGTTTGATTCTGTGCTTGAGGTTTTCTTTACCCCTCTTTGCTACCAGACTACCACGTTGTGGCCAGATAACTTTGTAAAAACCATCTAATAGTCTTCCCCAAGAATTAAAACCATCTAACTTCTGCTAATATTCTCGGCCTCCTCTTCCCACCCCTCCATACCTCAGTGTCCCTTTTCCCAGCTCCCTTGAGACCACAGACATAGCCACATTCTGTCAGGCTTTGCTGCTGTCGCACATGGTATTCTCTTTACTTGGCACATTAGTACCTGTATCCTTCATTTATTTCTGGTGGAATCAGTTGAGCTGTAAGTCAGATATTGACTCCTTTATAAAGTTTTCTCTAGTTCCCTGAACAGTCAGTCACCCCTTCTTCTCTGCCCCTATTATGCTATCTTATCTTCCTGAGGAAAGAGATCATGTTGTTTTGTTTTGTTTTTCATTTTAGTATCTTGATTGACTGGCATATAATAGGTGTTCTGGAACCACTTCATAATAGAACAAAGAGCAAATAAAAGAATCTCTAATGAATAAATGAGTCCAGGGCTTCACCTTCTAGTCTTGAGCCCAATGCTTCATTACCTGTTTCTGGTCAAGGTCATAGATATTTTATCTTGTGTTTAGAGAACCAAGGTTTGTTGGCACCATTTGCCTTTAGAGAAAAGTAACCTGATGGCCTCAGACAGGAGGCAGGAGGAGAGCAGACCCCTGCAGCGAAAGGAACAAGGACATCTCTGCCTTCTGGTTACAAGGGGCTGCAGGGAATAGGACACGACTTGGCCCATTCTATACACCAAAATATTGTCCCCACATTTTTATGGAAAGATCCCTCAAAGTTATCTTGTACCATTTAAAATCTCCCTGCTTTGGGGATTTGGGATTTTCTACACAAAAACTGTATTAGACTAAGATAGAAAGTACTTGATAAGGTACTTTTTTTTTCTTTTAATTCTGAAAGTTTCCATCAACATAAACTTGGAGAGGGCAGTAAAAGAAGGAAAAATAGAGTTTACAAAGAAAATTGTATAAATCCCATGAAGGAAAGCTTGTTCCACATTGTCCTTGCTGTAAGTGACTGTGCCTCAGCCATGACTTAGCTGCACTCCAACTGAAGAGTTTCTATTTCAGAGGCAGGTTGTATTAAGGATAGCATCTGTTCTGGTAGTTCAGCAGAGCTGTCAGTTTTCAGATGTGTGTTGTGATCCTCACATGTGTGCTAGCCCTGTATTATTTCCCTCATTGCTAATACCACTGTGGGTGTGTGTCTGTCTGCAGCTGCGGAGCCCCCATCCAAGTGTCTGAGGTAAAGCTGCTCTCCTTTTCATCGGGGCAGCTGACTGTCTTCCTCCCAGCTGAGGTGAAGGCCATAGGGACAGAGAATGATCACGTCCTGCCTCTGCAAGAGCTGGCCATGAGAAGTCTGTATCATGCCCACCACAGATTTCTAAAAGGTTTGCTTGCTTCTCTTTCCTATTCTCCCTTTTGATTTCATGAACAAACAGTTGTGTTTTATACTGCCTGATTTGGCTTTCATCTTTTTTTTTTTAATCATGGTAAAATACACAGCACAAAATTGACCATTTGAATTTGCTTTTAAATGTACAGTTTGGTGGTATTAATTGTGATCACACTATTGTGCCCTAGAGCTTTTCTTTTTTATCTTTTTTCTTTTTTTCGTTTTTTAAGACAGTCTTGCTGTGTTGCCCAACCCTACCTCAAACTCCTGGGCTCCTTCTTGTCTCAGCCTCCCATGGAACTGGAATAATGGCTTCATGCCATCACAACCAGCTGGGACCTTGCTTATAAGAAAAACAGTTTTCATATTTTATCAACACTGATCCCTTTAGTACCTTCTACAGACACAAAGAGGAACAGTTCAAAGTTAAATGAAATAAATTTGGTGTTTGGAAATATGTATTTGGTTGAGGCAAGAGACTGGCAGTGGGGGAAAATTTGGAAGGATCTTAACCTTGAAGATCTCTCCAGAAGAACAGGCTTTTGCCTTGCTGTCTGCTCACATCTGTGAAATGTGAGGAGAAGAAATATGAGGAGCCTTTGGCAGTATTACCACAGCATTCCAACTATTGGAAAGTATTTGTCAGTGTATAAGTTTTATAGATATTATGGTGTTTATAACTGAAACGCCTTAAAAAGCACTAGGTGGGGTTGGGGGTGGAGGTCAGTGGTAGGGCACATGCTTAGCACGTTTGAAGTCCTGGATTCAATCTCAGCACTGAGAAAAAGAAGAAAGCATTAAGCAATGATAATAAGAAAAATGCATTTCAAGTGTTCTTAAAGCTGCTAAATGTTTTACCTTTATATGAAAAAGAAGTCCACAAACAAACAAACAAAAACATGTAACCTTAGCCTTCCAGAAATGTCTAGTGGGAAGTTGTTTTTTAAAAAACTAAACAGTATATTCTCGTTATTCACCTAGGGCAAGTTATATTTTTCTAAGTTGTTATTGGTGAGTCTGAACAGTTATAAAAGGTTAAGAAGATCATTTGTGTTTCCTTTCCAAAGATGAGCTGATAATCTTTAGATTTCACCTCATTATGAACATTTCTCCCTCCATTCAATGTTTATTGTCAGTGTAGAAACCTAGTGTGGATTTGTATCAGGATTGGCTGGGTCACAGGGATGTTCTGCTTTAAATATCACTTGTGTAGCTCAGACTAAGTTGGAAAGGAAAACTCCCTATTTTTATTAATGATATGAGAATGAGACATAGAAAAGCTTTTTCATTTTTTTTCATTCTCTGTTTCCTGAATTTCATTATTTTCAATAAACATAATTTAGCCTTGATTGATACTTGATTGACTAGAGGTCTAGTAGATTTAGGGAGAACTTAATGAAAGTAAGTGATAGTCTTTCATCCCATCCCTCCTTCAATTCTCTCTTATAAAAGCGTGCAAAACCCTCTCTGGGTAAATTGATGCCTTTGTGATCCTTGTTCTTAAAGACTATTTGATCTTATTCTTTCCTTGACTCTATCTCAGGACAGCTTCTGGTTGCTCTTAAGAGAAGATTTTCATTTTCTTTTGGTATCAAAAAATGTAAAAAGAATCTTTCATTTCCTAATAATGTTAGATTTTTTATTCAATACCTATGAGATAACAGAATTTTCAACACCAAGTACTTTTAGCTAACTGAACTCATTTGGTAACAAAGAAGTATTTTAAGAAGTCTGATTTAAGGAAATTGATTTTTACTCATGTGCATGATTTTCTCTTGTGTTCCAGATCTGAACTTTTTGTCTCCAATCTCATTACCCAGAAGTCTCCTGGAGCTGCTGCACTGCCCCCTGGGGCACTGTCACCGGTGTAGTGAGCCCATGTTTACCATCGTCTACCCCAAGCTTTTTCCCTTGAGAGAGACGCCGATGGCAGGGCTGCACCAGGGGTAATCACGCCTAAGTGGGCGCCAGAGTTTACACCTGAGCAAGGGTACAGTGTGGGGAGTGGGGAGGCCATGCACAAAAGCATTGTTAAGTCAGCAGCTTTGGCAGGGTGTAATATGCTTCCTGAGATAGAGCTAAATGAAACAAATGTGCATTTCAGCATCACAAGAAAACTGGACTTCCCTTTATTAATTAATTTTTCAGTCATATATAGAAAAGTTGTATTGTATGTATTCTTTAGAATAGCTCATTCTTTGTGGGAATGTTTTCCTGCTATTTCCCTATTCACAATAGTCGTTAGGCAATAAGGGATACAAGAAAAAACGTTGTAGAATTGACCAAGCCCAGCCCTTCCATTTAATTGGTGTTGCTAACTGAAAGTGTATGACTGAACTCTGTGCACTTGTGCGTGTGTTTCTGTTTTGAATTTCTAACCCTTCCAAATGGCATTCTCATGCTCCTCTTTATTTCTTGGCACAATGCCTTGAATTTGCTAAGAATGTTCACCAAGTAAAATCCCAGTAATGATACTATAGATTAGGAAAAGAATACCAGACAATTAAAGATAGGGGTGTGCACAACCTTTTTAAGATTGAAAAAACAGTATAATACTTCATTTGTTCTTCAAATATGGTATTTTGAGTGAGTAAATTTTCCAGATAACTTAATCTTGTTACCCCTCTTCAATGCCCAAAGCTATTTTCATTGTGATCATTTTCATAGAAAACTTTCCGAGATTTTCTTTCCTTTTTTTCATTTCTTCCTCCCCCTTGACTCCCCTCCATGATACTGAGGATTGAACCCAGGGTCTCATGCATGCTAGACAAGTGCCCTCTACTGCTAAGGTATATCCCCAGGCCCTTTGTTTCTTAATCCGTGCAAGCGAGGCTGTGCCCTGCAGTGTTCAGAGCATGGACTTTGCATCCCACAGGCTGAATCTTCTGCTGTACTTCTCTGAGCCTGGAAATAGGGACAGAACAACTCACTTGGCTGGACCACTGTGACGATTAGCAGATGAAGGCAAATACCTGACACATAGTAGATACTCAACAAATGGAGTTACTTTTTCTGTCTCTCTACCTTCTTCCCAAAACTATGTTTATCTTTTTCTTGCTCTGGATAATCCTGTTTGGAATACTCTCAGTTCCTGTTTCAACTTTTTATATTTCTTTAATGTTTTCTGCTTATGGAAGCCCTACTCCCAACCTTTTTAATCTGCTGTTTGTGCTGGGAAAAGCAAACAAACCCCAAACTCAAACCGAGGCTGTCCTACAATACACATTCCCACAACATTGATCATTTCTCACACCAGTCATATGAGGGTTTCCCACATACCTCAAGCAAGCAGTCAGTTCTGCAGCAGGGGACACCTTTTGGGTGTCCTCAAATCCAATCCAGTTCTGACACTATCTACCTAGAGACAGCATCAGATCTCATAGGTTGAGGGTTCAGTCCCTGACACTCCCCTTTACACACACACACACACACACACACACACACACACACACGAGAAGCCAATTGCAAGCCCTAGCTTGTTTAACCTGTGCTTCTAACCAACTGATGTAAATCAGGGCTCCTACAACCCCCTCCTTGGATTTGATTAATTTGCTTGAATGGTCATAGAAATCAGGAAAATGTTTTAACCAGTTTGTTATAAAGGACATAACAAAGGATACAGATGAAGGGATGCACAGAGCAAGCTGTGGGAGAAGGGAAGTGGAGCTCCCACGCCCTTTTTGTGCATCACCCTCCAGGAACCTCCATATGTTCAGCTGTCCAGAAGCCTTCTAAAGCCTGCCCTCCTAGCTTTTTGTGGAGACTTCATTGGTATTTAGTTTGCAGTTAGACTGACTGGGAACCTCAGCAAGTCCTTTAGGCTTCAGCACTTTGCTTGACCTCTCTGGGCAGTCTTCCTCCCTCTAGGGTGGGGTGTAGAGTGGGAGAGCTCTGGAATGAGGAGGGTCTTACAACCTACTCTTGCACAAAGTGAGATCAGATCATTTCTTTATGGCCACCTCCACAACAGAAGAGCAGGGGAAGATAAGAGTTTCCATGACCTGCCTTGTGGAGACATGAACCAGGGACCAAAACCCCCAAAATACATATGCTAATATCATATTGCTTCTCATCTTAGGTGATCAGATAATCAAATTTGATGGATTGCCTTTAAATTAGAATAAAAAGAACTGAGTCAGGTTCCAGGCATATTACTACATGAATAAAATTAACAAATGAAATACATCTGTGAGAAGCCAGTAGCATATTAGTGATTAAGTGCACAGGCCCCAATTCTCACTCCTCTAGTAGGAGACTTTGGGTAAATTACTAAGCATCTCTGAGCTTCATCGTTTCAGCAATAAAATGAGAATGATATCCACTTACTAAAGTCATGTTGAGGATTCAGTGAGAGCATCCATGTGAATATCCAAGATGGTGTAATAAATATTAAGTAAATATTAACTATTATTTTCTATTTTTATAGTTTAGGAAGTTTTATTTCTTATTTTTCTTGTGGTTTTAGCAAGTGAGCTTCATATAGAAAGATGTAATTATAGGAAAATCTTAACTAATTCATTAAACTTCAGCTAAAACCCTGATGCCTTATTATTATACAATATCCTATAGAAGACATTTCCTTACTGCAAATAAGAAAATGAAAACAAAATAATAAAGTCAGAATACTCATTTAGTAGCCGAATTCTAAATACCTATTTTTAAAAATTAGCTTTCCTTTTACCATGTTAATTAATTTAAGAAAATACAGTCGATTCTTCAAATGAAGTCATTTTGGAGTTATCTTTACATGCAATTTGGGTAATTTAATCAGCATTTGCATTTTTCATTTACTGCTACTTCGTTTCCTGCTACAACTTAGAAATTCAGTGTGCATAAGCTTATACTTTTTCATAGTATAGATGAAGTAATATTAATTTAGTAAAATTAGTATATCAAGTACAAAGGACTTAGGCAATGTCCCTTTGTTGAGCATAGCCAGAGTGTCTGTTTAAGGCAGAGATGAAATGCCAGTATATAAATGTGGCTTTCTGTGGTGAGTTAATGCTAGGGTCTGAAATTGAGAGTTTGTGGCTTTCATTTCATCCACCAGACTGCTTCTTCCCATGTTGCCATGGAGATTGTATTAAAAGCATTGACTTCAGTTTTTTTACCATATTCTTAAATTTTTTTTTTTTTTTTTTTTTTTTTTTGTAGCTGAAACACAAATACTTGAATCTCCAGTAGCTTCTTGCGGAAAATAAAGTCAATACTCTTGAATATCATAAACTCTATCAAGTCTTGATAATGTTATTTTGAAATTCTCTAATATGTTCAGTTTGAGTGCTTGTCATAAAATAATACATTGTATCAGCCAATATCTAAATTCATGTGGACATCTGGCATTATTTTAAAAGGAAACATATTGAATAATCTTCTAAAATACCAAGTTCCATGGAAGTGTTAGTTTGTCCTAAATTTAATACAGAGTGAAGTAAAAATAAATGATAGTATTTCACATAAACAGTAAATACCCAAGCCTTCAAATTATATAGCAGGGAAGAATGGCCAGCAAACTTATGACCTTTGATCCTACAGACCCAAAATTTTCATTCTGAAAACTTACTGTTTGTTAAAATGGAAAACTTTGACTTAAAATATTATTTGTTGGTATAAAAACATGTATTTGGCTTTTCTCAAGCAGGCGTGGGTCTCATAAGTCCTATATTTCCCCACAAGAAACCAGGCTACCCAAAATCTTTGCATTTTGTTTGGTTGCTAGGGATACCACAATAAAAATACCACAGATTTAAACAACAGAACTTTATTGTCTCACAGTTCTGGAGGCTAGAAGTTGGAAATCAAGATGTTGGCACGATTCGTCCTTCTGGGTCTGTGAGGGGAGGATCTGTTCAGGCCTTGCTCCGTGTCTAGTAGATGGTCGTCTTCTCCCTGTGCCTCTTCACATCATCTTCCCTCTCTGTAAATCTGTCTCTGTGTCCAAGTTTCTGATTTTTATAAGACACCAGTTATATTAAATTGGTCCTACCCTAATGACTTCATCTTGGCTATTACATATACAAGACAGTTTCAAAAAATGTTGCTATATCAGCTCAGACTCCCATAACAAAAGGCTATAGACTGGGTGGCTTAAACCACAGAAATTATTTTCTTACAATTCTGAAGGACGGAAGTCAGAAATCAAAGTGCCAGCATGTATAGGTTCTGGTGACCACTTTCTTCCTGGCTTGAAGATAGCCAACTTGCCATGTCCTTACATGCTGAAAGAGAAGGGGAGAGAGAGAACTAGCCATCTGGTATCTCTTATAAGGACACTAACCTGTCAGAGTCCCATCTTCTTGACTTCATTTAAATCTAATTACCTCCCAAAGGCTCATCTCCAGATACCATCACATTGAAGGTTAGGGCTTTTACATATGAATGTGGGAGGAACACATTTCAACCCATAATAGACACATTCTGAGATATTAGGGGTTAGGACCACACATATGCATTTGGGGGAATTAAAATTCAACCAATAACAGTCTATCTCTGGCCCCATTTCTTTTATTCAGTTAAAAGCAGTAAAGTGCTAAATACTCTGGTCATCAAAATTTGTGGGAGTTTCTCCCTACCAGCAACCAATCAACCTTCCAACATACACCAGCTGGGCTTCCTATAATTTACTTCAAGCCTAAGAAGATCTACTTGAAGATAGTGTTAGATCCCACAGGTGAACAGCTGAGTCCCACAGGACTGTCTTGCTTCAGATGCACATCATAAGTAGTAGATAGTCACCTAATCTTCTGGCCAACTGAGTGTGAAGCAGTGGTCTACTCCCTCCTCAGGGTCAATTAATTTGCTAGAATGGCTTATTTTGCTTAGCATAATATTCTCCAGTTCTATACATTTACCAGCCAATGCCATAACTTCATTCTTCTTTATGGCTGAGTAAAATTCCATTGTGTATGTATACCACATTTTTTTAATCCATTCATCTGTTGAGGGG